AAACCACCAGGCTGCTGTAATCAAATCTGATCCTGGAAACCAAGGGCTTTTTCCGCAGCTGCGCAAGAAGTAACCTGAGATCCAAGCTGCCCGCCCATGGGATGCTTCCACCCCTACTCTTCCTGCTCTCCATTCTCACTGTAACCGGCTCTGCAGGGAGAGGCACCCAGGCCAGAAAGGAAGACCCATGAATGTACAAAGATGGAGCACTGCCCATCTAACCCCACTCCAACCCCCCTTTCTCCAATTCCTGGGCTCAGACCACAAGCCAGGACCCAGGGCTCCATCCCCCTCTGGGAGATGGGCAGGATCCAGCATGATGAGGCCAGAGAGCCTTCCTCTCTCCACCACAAAAAAATCACTTTACCTTCTCTAAACTCTGTTAGTATCTTTGGTTCATGTTCTGAATTTTCCACGTACATCCCACCTGATACATCTATGAACATTTGATTCACCCATGCTTATTCCTTTCCACCTAAATTAAATTTTCCTTAAGGGCACTGGCCAGGTTGCACTCATCTGAGACCCCACATGAAAAGGACTCTGTAAATGTTATTTGTGACGTCTTTGAGCTTACTTGCAGTTTCCTCCTCCTTTCCAGAGTCCCCTTTCTTCCTGCTTCTTTCCTCCCCTTCTGTACTTCTTAGCAAGTTGGTGTTTCTGTGAAGAATGTAGTTTAAAACTGAGGAACTACCATTGTAAATCAACTATACTCCAATATAAAAAAAAACAAAACTGAGGTGCTACCAACACAAGGCCTCACAGCCTGTGAGCTGGCTTAGCTGGTCCCCAATATTGAAAACTTGTGCTAGAAAAGGCCCTCTGAAGTTAACTGCATCAAAGAGAGTGAAATACTTAGGAACAAACCTAACCACAGAGGTAAACGACTTGGACTTGGAAAACTATGACGAAAGAAACTGAAGACAACAAACAGATGAAAAGATATACTGTGATCAGGATTGGAAGAATTAACATTGTTAAAATAACCATACTGGGGCTTCCCTGGTGGCGCAGTGGTTGAGAGTCCGCCTGCCGATGCAGGGGACGCGGGTTCGTGCCCCGGTCCAGGAAGATCCCACATGCCGCGGAGCAACTAAGCCCGTGCGCCACAACTACTGAGCCTGCGCTCTAGAGCCCCTCCTCCACAACAAGAGAAGCCACTGCAACGAGATGCCCGTGCACCACAACAAAGAGTAGCCCCCGCTCGCCGCAACTAGAGAAAGACCGCGTGCAGCAACGAAGACCCAATGCAGCCAAAAAATTTAAAAAGTGTTTAATTAAAAAAAAAACACACACAGTGAGATATCACCTCACACCAGTCAGAATGGCTATTATTAAAAAGACAACAAACAACAAGTGTTGGTAAGGATGTGGAGAAAAGGGAATCCTAGTATATTGTTGGGGATGTAAATTGGTGCACCCACTATGGAAAACAGTATGGAGGTTCCTCAAAAAATTAAAAATAGAACTGTCATATGATCCAGCAATTTCACTTCTTGGTATTTACCTGAAGATGACAAAAACACTTGAATTACTGATTTTGAATTAAAAGATATATGCACTCCAAGGTGCATTGCAGCATTATTTATAGTAGCCAAGATATGGAAGCAACCTAAGTGTCCATCAATAGAGGAATGGATAAAGAAGATGTGGTGGGAATTCCCTGGCAGTCCAGTGGTTAGGACTCCACGCTTTCACTGCCAAGGGCCCGGGTTTGATCCCTGTTCAGGGAACTAAAATCCTACAAGCCATGCAGTACAGCTCCACACACACACAAAAAAAGAAGATATGGTATACATGTACATATGTGCATGCACTCACACACACGCATGCACACACACACCCCCCCCACTGGAATGTTACTCAGCCATAAAATAAAAAAGAAATCTTGCCATTTGTGACAACATGGATGGCTCTAGAGGGTATTATGCTCTGATATGAAATATCAGACAGGGAAAGACAAACACTGCATGATCTCACTTATACGTGGAATCTAAAAAACAAAACAAAACAAAACCAGACTCACAGACACAGAGAACGATGGATGGTTACAAGAAGGGAAAGGGGGCCAGGGGACAGCCGAAACAGATGAAGGGGATTAAGAGGTACAAATCTCCAGTTATATAATAAATAAGTCATGAGTATGTAATATACAGCATAAGGAATATGGTCAATAATATTGTAATAGCTTTGTATGGGGACAGATGGTCACTAGACTTATTGGGGTGATCACTGCATAATGTATGCAAATATCAAAGCATTATGTAGTACGCTGAAACTAACATAATATTGTATGTCAACTATGTTTCAATTTTAAAAAAAGAAAGAAAAGAAAAGCCTCTCTGAGCCCAAGTTTCCTGTTCCCTAATGATTCCCAGTCTCCTTTTGTGTATTCTGAAACAGTTTGCCCAAGTGTTCATTCTTTCTCCCTTGGATCAGGAGAAAGAATGAACATGGCTTCTGGGCCAGGTTCTACGTTCTGGTGGCACAGACAGGCTGACATTAATGACTGACTGGTGGTTCTTTTTGCTTCTTCTCACACATACACACATACATGCTGAAAGCCTTGGGCCAGGCCTTCAGCTCTGTTTCAGTGTGGTAGAAATTAGATACAGAAGTAAAATACATATGTATGTAGATATATAAATATATATAATCTATAATCCTGACCTTGAATTGGAAATATCAGCAGAAACTCACCATGTATTTACATTAAAAAATTTTTTTCCTAGCTTTGTCCACTGAAAAGACCTACAACCAATGATCAACCTAGTAACAAGTACTCCCAATGCCGATATTATGGTCTCCATGGGAAAAAACCCTTTTCCATAAAAAGCAATCAGAGACCCTTAGAGAAAATAGCTCATTCCAGGTCTATGGCAAGAAATATACAAGATGAGCCAGGGCATCTAGTCATGCCAGAAAGCAAAGCAGCGTTCAAAGACCACTTAGAAGTTTGTCAAAAGGACTCAAAGAAATCAACTTGAAGAGGCTCCCACTGGCCAAAGATGGGAAAAATTTGAACATGAATAGCAAATGCAAACGATTGAAACATATCACATATGTTTAAACACATGAATACATAATGACATTAAAGGGAAAAACCTCTGTCATGATTAGGAGTTAACCAATTCATTATTTTGAAAACTGGTAAATATAAGGAAAGAGTCCAGCATTTGTTTAGGAAATAAAAGAATATCATAATTTTCCAATGCCTATGAAAAAATGGATCTAAGATATCAATGTTACTAACATCAAAAAAGGAAGACAAGCAGACAATACATATTCCCTTCTATGGAGGTACACAAACCTATTAAGTATTCTTGCAAAAACAAAAAAAACAAATCTGAATAGGTCTCTGACTATAATTACCAAAATAGAAGAGCAATCACAGAAAATAGAAGGGCAATAAAAACATGTGAAATATCACTACAGGGATGCAATCAGCAAAATCCAGATGATCTATAGGACAAACAATCTAGTTCCCTTAAACAAATTGCAAAGAAAAAGATTAAAATTGAGGAGGTACCTGTGGATTACAAGAGATTTAAGAGACACATCAACCAACTGCAACATAAGGAACTTATTTCAGTTTGAACAAAAACTTTTACAAAAAAATTTATGAGACAGGGAAATGTGAACACTGACTGGATATTTGATTATACTAAGGAATTTTTTTTTTTGGTCTGATAATAGCAAAGTGACTATGTGTTTTTTTTTTTTAAATAAGTGCTTATATTTTTGAAATACATCCTGAAATATTTAGGGATGGAATATGATACCTGAAATTTCTTCAAAATTATGTAGGAGTGTACAGAGGTATTAAGTTAAACATTTAAAGGCCTGTGTCCCTCTGATGGGACAATCAAGTCTGAATCTAACCAAGCCTCTAGATCTTATTACCAGATTATGGGGGGAAAGGGGGAAAGAAGGAACATTTTACAGTCAGCCAAACATAGAATGTAGACAATTTTGTAGGAAAAATGGCTGTTTCTTCACCAATGAATGGCATTTAAAAAAAAAAGAGGGAAACTGTTAGAGATTAAGAGAAACCTAAGAAGCATAACCACTAAATGCAAATTAATAGTTGTTTTTCTTCCATCTTGATTTGAACAAACCAGCTGTAAAAAGACATTTTCAAGGCAATTGGGGAAAAATGTACATGGGCTGGGTAATTGATGATAAGGAATTACTGTTTGTTGAATATATTCATGGTATCGTGATCAAGTTGTTTAAAAGCCCTATTTCTTAAAGATACATTCTGAAGTATTTTCAGGTGAAGTGAAATTGTATCTGCCATATGCTTTAAAAATACCCCCGGGGGGGGTGGGTGGGGAAGGGTGGGGGAGGGAAAATAGATGAAATAAAAATGGCAGAATGTTAATAAATGTTGAAGTTGGGTTCATTATCACCAGGCTCATTTCTTGTGTGTGTTTGAAAACTAATAGAAAGTTAAATAAAACAGAACATTTAAAAAATAAAGCTAGTCCTTGCCTAGGGTGTTAACTATACTGACCACTTGAATTTAAGGGACAGGAAGGCCGGTGAAGTTTGGAGGGATGAGGAAATGGCAAGGCTGAGAAGACTGAACTTGACCTGAGCCTGGCAGGAAGGGTGAAGGAGGTGGGAAAGGGTGGGAACCGAGGCACAGTGGTGTCGAATCCTCACCCATACATGCCAGGGGCTTCCTATTGCTGTGGTTGATAATGGGTGCTTGCTCCATCTCCTTGGCCACACCGCGAGCCATTTGAGAAGGAAAATGCCCCCACTCTCTATACTTCTTACTCTCCCGCCCTCTCCCTCACCCTCAAAGGGACTCCCCAATTCTGGGGAAGCACAGCCACACCCAATCGCCAAAGGACAAAAGAGTGTTGGCCTATGGCTCCACCTGCTGGTGGTGCTGGGAACTGAAGCTGCCAAAACGGTCCTGATGAGAAGGAAGCTGAGGATAATTTGAGAGAGATTTGGTCTTTTCCGCTCAGAAAAGACACAAAGACCAATTAAACATATAAGAAGGCTTTAATTTCATCACCATAAACATTATACTCTGATTGCTCACATACAGTATAAAATATTTACTCCACTAAATAAATAAGACATAACATTATTGCAAACGGCACTTAAAGCCCCCGGAGATAAGACCTCCTTAGCCCAGGCAGGGGGTGCTCCTGAGTTTCTGTGCTAGATTCCCCAAGCACAGATATGCCCTGGGGGCTGAGACGGATAAAGGCTCAAGGAGCCACACTCTGTGCTTCTGGTCCCAAAACAGCCCCAAGGAGAGGGCTGTGGAGCCAGTGGGGAAAGGTGGGGTTGGGCAGCTCCTTCATCAGCCCAGTCCTAGAGGGAGCAGAGGGGAGCTGGGGGGGACGGCAGGGCCAAGAGGGGAGGTGAGGCTACGGAGGCTGCTGAGACCTGAAGCCCCACCCTTCACGTTTCCCCAGCCCTCCCCGCCTTGGGTAACAGGATTTGGGATATCAGTTGGGGTAAGCAGAGCTTCCAGGCTCAGGGTTAGGCAGTTCTGGGGCCAGACCAATCACTCCAGGAGAAGGAGATTCTGACAATTCTCAGCCCAATAACCAATCGTCTCAGGGGACCTAGTCATTAGGGATCTCATCCTACCCAACCCCTAAACACCTTGATTCCCCTTCTACTTAAATAAATAGTTAATTATTTAAAAACCCGTGTCCCTGTGATGGCAACACAGGGGCCAACAAGCCAAGTCCTAATAAAATGCAGGGGAGGGGGAACAGGAGAGAGGTGGCGCTGTGGGGCTAGGCAGCTTCCCTTCTCCCCTCAGGACCGCGTCCCCCAATAACTTTCATACTTTCAAATCCTGTAGAGGAGCCGTTTCACATTACAAACTCCCATGCAAGAGCGACACTGGGAGAACCTATGGGATAAGAGGCCTTGGTTGTAGGAGACCAGGTGGCTGAGTTTTACTCAGCTCCCCAAATCCCTTCTCTGGGTATTTCTCAACCAGGACACTAGCTGTTAACCCTGAGCCTGGGTGATCCACCGGCAGAGTCCTGCATTCCAGTGCACAGAGTTAATTAAATGCCCTGCCCTTCTTTCCTTGTGGAAGTCCAGACTGAAGCCTGCTGGAGAGCTTCCAGTCAGCCAGCCCTAAAGACTGAGGAGAGGTGGGAGGGAAGAAGCCCCAGTCCCTTACTTGTGCAGCTATACACCTCACTGCCACAGGGCGGCAGCAGAGAGCCACATCACTTTGGCAGCAATAGAAACTGGAAGGCCAGCCCACAGCCCTACCGGGCCAACGTGGTGGGGGGGGACTGGAATAGGGAGAGCTGGGACCCAGTGAGGCAGGTCCTCCCTCAATGGGTTGGAAGTACTCTACACAGAGTATTTGGCCAAGTCGCTCTTGTCAAATACCACCTGTGTGACAAAGTAAATGGCAACCAGACCCAGACCTGCAGCCGACACCATATAGGCAGTGACAGACTGGCTGAGCTGAACAATGGAGCCCATAAAGAGAGACGGGGCCACCTGGGACAGCAGGAAGGCACTGTCCAGGACGGCAAGGTCCAGGCAGATGCCCCGGCCCGGAACAACCCTGGCCTCCGGTGGCTCGCCCACCACTGCACGCATGGAGACATCGCAGGCGGAGGCCCCGCAGAGTGCTGGTGGAGGAGGGAGCAGGCCGCTGCCTCCAGCACCCAGGTGTCCATTGGGGAAGGGAGATCCGGCCTTAGGGCCCGGTGAGAAGCTGGTCATCAGGCTGTCCTCACTGGCACCACCTCCATCATCTCCGCGGTATTTGGGCAGGAAAACCTGGGGAGAGGGGAACACACAAGGACAGGTATGTACCCAAGCATGGGATCCCCCAACTAGGAGAACAGGCCCTGGCCTTTATCCCAGGGGCTAGAAGAAACCAGGCACGAGGCCTTAATGAAAATCGGGCAGCAGGTCAGAAAACTGAGCAGACCTTGCTTGGTCTGGGTCTAGTGAGGATTCTCCTCAGAAGGGGGGCAGGGGGGCAGGAGGGGACATCTGAAACCAGAAGTCTAGGTCTCCTCTAGCCTCTCCTAGAATCAGTAAGTGACAGACAAACTCAGTACTGCAGGTTAGGAAGAGAACAGAACCCCAAGGAAAAGGAAAGACACAGAAGAATGAAGACAGGTGGGCAGAGAGACATGTCAGAGCAGAGGAACAAAGTCCAAAGGTGGGGCCCTAAAGGCCCCAAAGCCCCACACAGATGCTCCTAACCCTCCTCCTTCTGCCCCTACCACCTCACTACCGGGACACCCTTGTCAACCTCCAGAGAGACCAGAGAGAGACGCTCCCTTCCCACTGTGGGTCCCAGGCCCAGGCTATAGTTGCTGCCCTACTGTGAGGTCTGCGGCACCAGTCTGGGGCAGGGAGGGTCCTCAGACTCAGCCTAGAGGAAGCGAGGAACAGAAAGAATCGCCCTCTTCCCGACTCCCATGGTCCAGCTGTGCTGAGGCCGAAGCCTTCTTGTTCCCTCTCACTGTCTGCCTTGGATCAGTGTGACCTGCCCCTGCCCTGCCCGCAATGTCCCAGAGCCTCCCTCCTATCTAAGGACGAGGCCAGAACTCATCTGACCACTTTTCCAAGGCCCGCTGGTGCCTAACACAGAGCTCTCAGGGTCAGCTGCATTAGCGCTGGGAGCCACAGCAGAGCTCAAGCCTGACACCAAGGGAATCCCAAGGCTCATGGTGCAGCCAGAAGTGGACAAAGCAGACGTAGATGGGGTGCGGGGCCAACCATGCCTGGAACCTCACCTCCTGCCTGCCACCCCACAAAGGATCAGTGTGGCTGAAGCTTGGAGAGGCCCCTAGGGACAGACGTGTTCTCAGCCTGAAGGGAAGACCACCAGCTCAGCACGTTCCCTGGCACATGCCCAAGCCTGGCTTCTGGACACCAGCCCAACCAGGGTGGGAAAGCGTGGAGGATGATGAAGGTTATCAATGCACTGACAGGGGACTCGGGGACCAGCTTCCCCCAACCCAAAGCCCCACCTCCACCCCCACCCCTGCAGCTACCTATTCACTTAACCAGCCTCCCAGTTACCCCACCCATGTCCTACAAGGGGCAGACTATGTCTTTCCTACAGTCTAGAAGCCCTATGAAGCCAGGCTGCATCTCTTTTTCCTTGGGACACCCCAACTTCTTGCCCTCTGGGCAGAGCTCTGCACCCAGGGCTGTAGCTCAGTGAGGCCAATGGAGACAACAAAGGTGACCACACAGCCTGGTCAGGAGGCTTCCCAGAGAAGGGGGCCCCTGGAGGGGCTGGTTAGTGTGGGGCTGAGCAGGAAGGAGGCCCCCCAACTTACACAGTGCCCAGGCGAGCGGTGTCAGGCGCATCAGGCTCAGAGATCCGCCATGGGGGCGGGGGGAGGGGACGAGGCAAAGGAGTGAGGCAGGAAAAGAAAAGAGAGAATTAAACAGAAAAGGAAGACAAACCAAAAGAGGGGAAGGGGCGGTAGGGAGCTTTCCCCATCTCCGAGACCAAAGCAAGGTTTGGGTCACTCACAAGGTCCCCCCCTGAATAAGGAGAGGCGTGGCCCACACCAGACCTTTCCCACTCACTGGCCGCTGAAGCCGGGTACCCCAGAGGTCATCTGATCCAGCCCCCTGCCTCTGCACAGAACAACTCAGCCCTGACTGAGGCCTTCTGCTAGCCTGATTCTTCAGGATTTCCAGAGAAGGATTTCACATTTCCTGCAATCATCCACTTTAAGTGCTTTATAGTCCTGACACCAGGAAGTCATTCCCAGAATCTAATCTACACCCTCCTTCCGCAGCCCAAGTCTCTGGCCCTGGGGCTACAACAGGCTTCCTCTCTGATCAAAGAATTCCTTCTCCAGCTTCTCTTGCCAGACACCGGTCCTGGGCTGGTCAGCTGCCCCTCCACCCCACTCCACTCAGCGGCCAGGGCGAGTACCTGCTTCTCCCGGTGGTAGAGGGATGCTAGCGTGTACGGCAGGATCTGCAGGGCAGAGAAGGTGAACCCAGTGAGGGCAGCCGAAGCGGTCACCACCACCACGCTGCGGGACAGGCACGTGGCGCCGGCAGCCACGGGGAAAGCCACCACGCTGGCCAGATAGACTGCCCTGGTGCCGAATCGCTGCACCAGCCGGTCCATGACCAGAGAGAAGAGCAGGGAGATAGCACACTGCAGGAACAGCCCCAGGCTGCCCATCCGGACCCCTGGAGTGGGGAGGGGGAAGAGGCCATCAGACAGGGGGTAGGGAAAAAGGACCCAATACCATGGGGGGGGAGGGGTGCTCAGAATTAGGAGCCACAGGCACCTGCTGCCCAAGACCTGCTGTTTTCCGGAACTGCTCCCCAGCATCCCCTGCCCTACCCATAGCAACAGGAGTGTAGGTTCTTCACTGACCTCAGGGAATGTGGCCAAAGCCACTGGCTAAGGGCAAAGGAAGATGTTCTAAGGGCTGGCTGTGCTCAGCTTGTCAGGAGAGGTAGAGGGAACACAAAGACATTTCTGCTGTGGGCTCCAAGATAGAATTCCAGACGCCTGAGCTGGAAGGGGCTGGCAAGGCGATTTGGAAAGTCAGTAGGGGAGCAGAGGGCACACTGAAGTTCGGGCCAGGCGAACCCGAGGCCCAGCTTCTGGACCTTAAACAAGCCCAGCCTCGTCCTCCATCAAGTTGGGGCAATGCCTGATCAAACTCTCCGATCAGCCCAAGGCTCTGCTGCGACTACAGCAGAGCCACTCTGCTCCTTGAGCAGCTGCCCACGCAGCCTGCATACGGGCCCATTGTCCTGATGGGGAAATCGGGGCTCAATGCACAGCTTCCAGCCCAGGCACAGGCTGTGGGCATCTCCCTGCGCCCGGACATCCACTGGAGGGCAGCTCCCACAACAGGGCCCCGGGCTGCCAAGGCCTTACCTTCATCATAGTGTCTCCGGGCCTCGGTGCCTGGCTCAGCCCTGGGCACACCCTGGTATAGCCCCTCGCCCACAAAGTCTGTGTAAAACAGTGTGAAGGTCATGAATGCCATCCAACTGCACAGCTCGGCCACGAAGAGTCGGCGTAGGGTGTGAGGCATGCGGCAACAGAGCTGGTGCAGCCGGGGAAAGAGGGCGCGCAGGTTCCAGAAAGCCAGGCGGGCGTGGCACGGGCAGCAGTGGGGTGGTACAGAGGGGACCGACAGCCCTTCCACGGGCTCGGCTGGGCCCAGCGCCGCCTCCTCAGCCACAAACAGTGTGGCTGCCACGCAAGTGAGGAAGATGAGAGCAAGCAGGCCGAAGAGGCACTCTTCCTGGGTGCCCAGGTAGGGGGCCAGGGCACTGGCATCCCAGTCGATGGCAGGCAGAAGGTAGCCCAGGCAGCCCCCCAGGCTGATCATGAAGGCGTAGACGGAGAACGCCTGGCGACAGTGGTCTGGGTCCCGGAAGAGGTCAGAGAGGAGGGCCTCCAGCGGAGTGAAGCACACCTGGCCACAGAAGTCCAGCAGCCCCACGCCCAGGATCAGCAGTGCCAGCTCCAGGGGCCTGGTGTCCGGGCACAGCAGCCCCGCCAGCCAGCCGGCCCTCGGGATGAGGAAGAGGCTCAGCAGGACACCCAGGGACAGGGCCCAGATGAAGGGCCTCCGGCGACCATAGCGCCCACGCCAGTGGTCGCTGGCTGAGCCTAGGAGTGGGACCGAGACCAGACCCAGCACTGGACCGATGCCTGCAAGAAGGGCAAGTAGTATGAGCTGGAGGCTGGGGCCCAGAAGGGGCAGGGGGAAGGGTACCAACTGCCTCGAGAAGGATGGAAATGATGGTGATATCACATGGAGGGCCAACTGTGTACTGGGGCTGTGCTGAGTACTTCACAGGACCCCAGTTTACTGCTCACAACTAGGATCACTAGTGCCCCAACTGACCAGTGATCGCGTGCACAGGCACGGTTTCAACAGGCAGTCTGACCCCAGAGCCTGCCATCCTGACAGAGCCCCCTCTTCCTGGGAGTCCCGTGATGATATTTGCCCTCCGTGGCTTTTACAGAATTCGTCCGCAGTTAGGAGCCCAGCCCCTGCCCTAGAGGCAAGAAAGAGCCCTGGCGGTGGGGGCTGAGGGTGGTCCCGACCCTGCTAATCAGGAGCTAAGCTAGCCGTCCAGTGGCCTAAGTCACCTGACGGCTTATTAGCTTCCATCATCTTCTCTGTGAAATGGGTAACCTCAAAGCGTTGCTGCAGGAATTAAACGAGACCACAGGTAGGAATTACAAAGGGCAGTTTCTCCAGTGTCTCCTGTGGGCCATGCATGGCGTAGGGACCAGAGATACAGAGGTCACCAGGGAACGTCCCTGTACCCTTTTGTTTCTCTCAGACCCCCTCAGCCCAGGGTCACCCCCTCCCCAGCCAGGCTGACCCACCAGGCTCAGGGACAGCAGGCAGCCACCTCTGCCTCCAAGCAGCTCTTTGGGCAGAGGCCCTGTCGCCCTACTTCCCCAGGGGAAACATATCTGGAGCAGGAGGGAAGGAAGATGTGGGGACTCACCCAGCACCATGGTCATGAACTTCTCCTCTACCCCCACTTCCAACAGCAGGGGTGGCACGTAGGTGATACCCGCAGCCAGGCACACCTCCAAGCCGAAGGTCAGCAGGTTGACCAGCAGGAGCTGGGCTTTCCGATGCCGCAGCAGGCGGCTCACCCACAGCCTCTGGACCATGATGCACCAGGCGGGTAGGGCTCCGGCCTGTTCACACACTCCAGGACTGCTCCATCTCAGCCTTGCTCCAGATGCCTAGGCCTCTCCTCCTTGCTGCCACCGACCGCGTAGGACTCAGCCAGAAACCCATTTCTGCGGGCCCTCCGTGCAGGTCTAGTTTCTCAGCCATGCTAACCGCCTGTCTGTCGTCGTGGGGTGCCTCGGTGGGGACATAACTCAACACTCAGATCCTAAAAGAGCTGGGACAATCACACACACAGAGTATTAAAAGAACTGGGAGAATCACAGAGTGTTAAAAGAGCTGGGACAATCACACACACAGAGATTCCTGCGAATCTGATCTCCAGGATTTGCTCTGAATTCTGAATCTTGTTCACTCCCAGGCTGATGGTGTGGCCCTGCCACCCAGGTGTCACTCCCTACTGGCCAATCAGGAAGTGCATGTTAATCCGAGCCTAAGGTTGACATATTAATAAGGTAAATATGATTTTTAAACCTCAGTACACTCCAGAGCCAACTAGATGTTAGTAATTCTCTGTTTTGGAATATCTTTGCAATTGCCCTTGTTTCCTAGTATTGAAGGAAAAAAAAAAAATCAAACCAGCTGAATTCCCAGTTCCCGAGGCACTGTTTACCAAGGTGCCCCCTGGAGACCCTCTGCCAGGCCTGGTTTGTTCGCTTTTCTCTCTCTACTTCCCAAAGCTGGGCTGTTCAATTCCCCTTCGTTAAGAGTCACACTTCCTCTTCCATACCACCTGGCCACAAGCCATGTTGCACCATAACTCCACCCCAAGGACGAGGGCAAGGAGGAAGACCAGAGAGGCTGTGGTTTGTCGGGGTGGGTTTTAACCTCTTACTGAAACCATTTAAAAAGCGCTCCCTGGGCTTCCCTGGTGGCACAGTGGTTGAGAGTCTGCCTGCCGATGCAGGGGACATGGGTTCGTGCCCCGGTCCGGGAGGATCCCACATGCCGCGGAGCGGCTGGGCCCGTGAGCCACGGCCGCTGAGACTGCGTGTCCGGAGCCTGTGCTCCGCAACGGGAGAGACCACAACAGTGAGAGACCCGCGTTCCGCAAAAAAAAAAAAAAAAGCGCTCCCCTGGAAGAACCTAGGCCTGAAAACCTCTACCTTGAGTTTCTCTCCATGCTCAACGTCCATGGGGAGGACATATTCCCACACACGCTGCTCAACTGTCAGGGGACAGTGGGGCCGGTCCCAGGTTCCAGCCTCACAGGGGCATGAAACCGCACCACCTGGCGGACACTGCGATGATGCCAGTGACCCCCTGGCAGACTTCCTCTCTCCCCACCTGGCTCCACTCTCAGCAGACGTCCCCACAGCCCTTCCTGCTAGGCCTCCTGTGCAGACACATCCCACCAGGGGAGTACCCACCCTGGGTCCTCCACCCACAGGCAGTGGGCCTCCAGGTCTTGCTTCCTGACTGTGGCACCCACTGTAGTCCGCTGTTTATAAGTGACCACAAAAGAGGGGAAATCAAGTCAGCTATGCAGAGAAGGTATAGAGGGTGGGCCCTAGTCCCCCAACCTGCCTTCCATCCCATGGCGGCGTAGACGGGTGGACAGAGCTTCACGCCACTTATGACTAGAGTCTGGAGTGCCTTCCCCGGCTTCACCGACTCAACCCCATTGACACTGTTGAAGAGCACTGCTCCTGTGCAAGGTTTACTGCCAAGGGCCTGGGCCTACCGGAGAGCCTTCCCGGAGCACCCTCGGCCCTCACTCATGCCCTCTTCCAATCTCAGCAGCTCATGACTTGGTGCTTCAACTTCTTTTATCGTTTCAAATATCACTAAGCCCCGCAGGGACTTTTGTGTTACGAAGCATGTTGTAGGTTGCTCTCTGAGCTGTGCCACAAAGAAAACAGACGGCCATCAATCCTGGGTAAGATGTGTCCGTTCCGTAACTGCCTTCCAGGGCTTTGCAGCTTGTAGACCAAGGAAGAGACTTCAGACAGGGCTAGGCAGCCGCCTCCCCCAAGTTCCACCAAGTCTGGGAGGGCCTTGGAGACTCACCTGCCCTGGGTTTTAAAGGGACCAGGTCCTCCCTGAGTAAACAGACTTTAACAGACTCAGCCTCTCCCACAACATGCACCCAAGCCCTGGTTGCTCCCTGTGGTTTAAATAAATTGCAGCTCTCCGGCAAACATTAATCACCCCACCTGACTTACTCCCTCCCTTAATCCAGCTCCCCACTCCCAGCACCAAGCCGGACCTCCACAGCCCACAAGGGAGAAAGGCAAAATCCTCCCCCAGCCCAGCGCCTCCCCCGCCCAGCTGCTTCCCCCTCCCAGCCCCTCTCTCCACCCCCCAGAGGTGCTTTACCCAGTGACCAGGGGCTGGGCCAGGTAAGGAATTCCTTGAAAGGAGTTGGGTAGGAAGTAGGCGGGCTCCAGCCCTGCTCTGCACCCCTCTCCTCTTAGGTTGCTGAGCCCGTCCTCCCTCTTTTGGGCACTCTCGCCACCACAGACTTGACTCTTCCCAGCCCAGAAGTGCCCGAGAAAAGTCCAAGCCCATAAGAATACTCTCCCTTCCAAAGTCCCCCCTTTCTCCTCCTTACACCTTCCCCAGTGCCCCAGCCTCCCCCACTGCATCCCCAGCCCAGCCCTCACGTGGAAGAAACTGCAGAGGACACCCATAGCACAAGCTCAAGTCACCAGCAGCCCCTCCAGGGCCTTTTTCCCAAGGACACAAACAGAAAAGCCCAGGCCCCAGGGTCCCAGGTTCAGAGGGGAACAGGAAGCAGTTTGTCACACCCACTCCAATCCACAGCCCCAGGGCACACTTCTTCCCAAAGCTTGAAAGTGACAGATCCCCGTTGGGTCCCTCTGTTTCAGGGGCTCCCCCGCCTCCTCAGGAATACAGACGGGGAAACAGGATCCAACCCTCCCCTCCAGCCTCAGAGATGCTTCTGACTCAGATCCTCCTGCCCCACTGCTCCTGGAGCGCCCGGTCCGGCAAACAGAAGCTCAACCAGAAGAGCCAGCCCCTGAGTGCTCACCTGGTGGGGAGGGGGGCGGGAAGAGGAGGGAAGTGGAGGTACACGAAAGGGGGAGTCTGGCCTAACCTTGTGAATAGCAGCTTTCTAAGGAGGACAAGTCCCTCTCAAGGTCCAAATATCTCCCCCCTTTTCTGGGCCCCCTGATAACGGGACAGCAAGAAAGCTGGAGGAAACCCAAGACTTCTGGGAACCTTTAGGGAGCTGTGCTCCAGGCCATCTTCCCTCACCCTTGGGGGAGCAGAGCTCCAGCCCTGGGAGACCGAGAGCCGTGGGCACGTTCGGGGAACCTGCATTTTACCTACCCAGCTCCAGACACCGGGAGACTTCGAGTGCACCCTCAGAGCAGGCTGTAGGCTCCACTGCAACTCTCCAGCACCCACCCTAGCATGAGAAGGGGCCTGGGAAATGCTTACCTACAGAATAAATGGCTGAAAGCAGCCTGGGAGTGGGAGGTGGAAGAGATAGGAAAGACCTAAGTGCCTACCCCCATCCCCCCACGCACCAAGGAAATTCCAGCCCGACCCCCAGAGGGGGCAGCTCTCCTAAGGGTTCAAAGGTGGTGAGTGGATGGGACAGAGCCTCCCAGGCTGGAATGCCCCATCCCTGCCCACCCCCCTACCTCAGGTTAGGCCCCAGCAGGGAGCACAGGGAAATGAAACTGAGCAACAGGAACAAACTTGGCCTGAACTTTCTCCAAAATTCAGGAGTGGAGGAGGCAGGAGGAAAGGCACCTCCTGGTAGCTCCTCTGGGAAGGGAGTGTCAGAGGGATATATAAAGAGGCCTTTGAGGGCTTTCAAAGGGGCTCCTGCCACCCCTCGCGGCTGAGGTGGAGCTGGGGGAGCAGATTCCCTCCGCTGAAGGACAGAGGTCAGAGGGAGCCGGGCTGGGGGTAGCCCCGCAGCGGGCCAGTGTGAGGCAGCAATTCTATGGCCTCTTTATGCGGGCCAGCGTCCCCACAGCCGGCCAGGCACATCAAACGGCCGCACCCTGACCCCGCGAGCCGGCGACCCTGCGTCCTCCCTCCACGCTCACAAAGACTGTGCTCTTTCTCACGCGGCCACTGGGAAGCCCCTCCCTGCAGAGAAGGAAACTGGGGATGGGGTAGGCCAGCCACGAGGAATAATGACTCAGCTGCAGAAAGGGGTGGGGTCACTCCAGGCCAATCTCCCTAACGCACACCCCAGCCCAGGCCATCTGGCCCAGGCCAGGACTGCAGGTGGGGAGAAGCCCACAGGTAGAGGACGTGAGACTGCACGGGAAGGGGGACCCCTGTTCCTCCACAGCGGGCTGGACCCCAGAATCTCATTCCAAGTTGCGCTCTCCCAGATCCTCTAGGTTGGGGGCACAGAAGAAGTCCTAGGGGACCAGTGCCCTTGGCCTTACCTCGTAAAACCCAGCATACTGCACTCCCAAAATGAGCTCTGCCCTCACGGCAGGTCCACAGGAGTCTTGGGACAGCCCAGAAAGAGCCTGCGCTGGCCAGACAGCAGACGGGAAATGAACATCCTTGTGAGGCAATGAGCTCTCCACCGTGACAGACCCCCTCGTCAGGGATGCTGAGCTGGGGGAATTTCTGCCTGAGCAGCTAGGGAGGGGGGACACAGGACTAGTCTAAGCACGGCTTCCATGCCTTCCAACACATATTTAGTCTTTGATTCTCTGAGCTCAAACGCGTACTTCCAAAAAAGCAAGGGTCTGCTCCCCCCAAGCCTACCCTACCGAAGGCAACAGTGATTTGCACGAGGAGCGAAGACCCACAACCTCCCAGTGCTCCCACAGACACCTGAGAACCCCACTCAGAGTGCAAACTTTCCACCCTGACATCAGCAGAGATAAGGCCCCACCCCCATCCAGACTTGCTCCCTAGCTCCTGCCTCCCCAGGGCCCAGAGGCCAGGGATTTAGAGTCCGCCCTGCTGCGCTGCCTTTTCTTCACTCGGACTGGAAGGCTTCTGCTTAGCAGCCTGTCAGAGAGAGTGAGGGGCCTGCAGGCCGGGACACAAAGGGGGATTAGGGAGAAACCTCTCGGCCTGCAGAGTAATCCATCAAACTCCCGCCCGGCTGCCAGCACCGGCCCCTTCCCGCTCAATTCCCCTTCCAGCTGCTGCGGGCCCCCACCCCCTCCAGCTCCTGAGCCCCGCCACACTGGGCAGCAAAGAGAATCCCAGTCCCTGGGGGCGCAGAGGGGGCACACTGCAGACACTGGGAAAAGGGCAACGGCT